AGTAATATCTATCTATCTATCTATCTATCTATCTATCTATCTATCTATCTCTTATAAAGAGAGAGAGAGATAAGGACTTTTTCTTAAATTATTAAAGTGCTACAAAAGATAAATGAAAATACAGTATTATGCAAAAGTTAGAAACAATTATGATAAAGAATACTGACTTGACAGTTGCACATTAGATAGACACCCTCCACAGGCATGTGTAGCCACAGTGGGTCATTAACGAGCTCTCTGTTGGTTAAGTAATTTATCCAAGCATATTAATAGAATATTTAGTGAAAGAAAACATGTGTTTGAAAAAGATGCATAAAAAAGTGTTTTTTTTTATTCTAGCCAAAGTTTATATTTTTAAATCATCGCTCTGCTTTACCAAGTTATCCTGATTGCCTCCATGCTGGTCCATATACACATAGAAAATGTCTCTACAAGTAATATAGAGAATATATAGTGTATGGTGCATGGACTGAGCTGATATCTGTTTCTATTGTATACAAATGTTTTTTGTTGTTTTTTTTTTTTTTTTCACATCCGCCAAAATTATCATAATTATCTAAATTAAGTTAATAATCATTTAGTTAATAGAATTTATAATTCTTCATAATAAACCTCTATGAAATTAGTTTAGATAAATCAGCTGTATCAAAAGGACTATAATTTGTAGAGAGGCAGATGTTTGTCTGTTTCCAAAGGTGTAAATTGCTTCAGCCTCTCACAATCAAGATTACTTATTATGTTTATCTACCCACCTGATCTGAAACCTGAGCTGTCTCATTTGAAACCTGACACAATAAAGCATCTTCTCTTGTTTCACCCAGCTTCATCTTTATGTAATATTGTTTTCAATGGGCTGGAAACTTTGAATAATTCATTATTGACTGAAGTAAATTATACAGTTGCCGCTAAAAAAATATACATAGTTGGAATAAGAATAGCTTTGTTTTAACTTTACCTTTGTTGTTGTTGTCTAAGTACATTAAATTATGGTAAGCGTGAAATGGTTAACTCCAATAAGGAGAGGAACGTGTGTCTGATTTCATCCTGACATTATAATTTTTTCTTAAATAAAACTGGAACCATATTAATAATGAGGAAAATTATAGATACTTACAGGTTTCTTTGAGGGAGTGGGGGGCTTCAAAAGTGCTCTAGCATCTTCCCAGGAGTGCTGACTGCCGTTCTTGACCACATCCTGTCCCCTAATCGTCAGAGTCTGACTGCTGTTAAGACTCATTTTACAGCTTCAGTTTCTAGCTCGAGCTAGAGAGAGCCAGTGTGTCCCTCCCTCTGTAGTGGTAAATACTCGCACAACTCAAATAAAAAAAAAATTCACACTCACTCTTTGAAAATGTATATTTAGTCCGGCTGCAATCAACAGATGAGCTCAATGTGATTGCTGCTGCTGAGGCACTTCAAATATAAGAATCTGACATGCTGCAGAAGAGGAGGAGGATACAAGCAATAGTCAGGCTGTGACCTTGGTTTAATATGTCCAGCATCATTTGGAGGAAAATCCTCGACCGGGTCTTCTGCACTGCACTATGCCTCTTTTGCACACTCTGTCCTGACTTCAAGCCATTCTGCATCCTCCCACTGTTAACCCCTTCGGTGTCATACTCCCCTGAGTCATAGTTTAGCACGTGATTTAATCAGGATGACAACTGGTTTCTGCACACTACAGGGGATTGCACGTCTCTATCTCCTGTGTCGTGATCCTGAACAAAATTTTTTATTTTTGACTTCTTATATAACGGCTTAATTAAAATTTCTTACCAGATCATCAATGTCATGTTTTTGTGTTGGAAATATTAAAGAAAATGTAGTTGCATATTCGATGATAGATTATTTCATAATCCTGCACAGCATTGTGGGAACTGCAGTCCCTCTTGGCTTATTTGCCTCTCTCACTGGTTTAGAGCCTGCTAAAACCTGCCAGGTCGTCGCAGAAATTCAGTTACGAAGCAGCCTTCCCTGTTTCCAGGCAACATGCAGAGAGTCAAAGCAAATGAGACACTCCCATATCTTCTACACGATTGGCTGAATAGACATCATTTCAAAAAAGACCTCCTCCAATCCAGAAACAGGCAGGTGATGCAGGGAGCAAAGATGAAAGTACAGGCTGTGCTTTGATGAGCATTAAATTGTCATTAATAGTGTTAAGTTGACTTTTATCCACGCAGACAGACAACAGGCAGATCGTTTTAAGCAGGAGATGAAGCAGGCACCCACTGGTTAACTAACAGAACAAAAAGACAACTGATACTCCTTCAAACATAACAGATGAAAGAGAATAAATGATGAACGTTATATTTATTTCACTGCTACTTACACTCTTAGAAAAAAGCAGGCCTATCCTTTATCTTTTATTTGACCTATTATATTGCACTTCAAATTATTGCCTAAAATGCAAACCCCATTTACGATATTTGAAAAAACTAAATAAACTAATATAAAGCAGAAACATTTGTTTAAAGGCACAAGAGCCAAGAGAACTGTTTGAATTAAGATACCTACTTTTATTAGGCGTACTTTCATGACACAAGAAAAATATATTAGCTCTAGTTGTGAAATAAATAGCTGTCTTTATATTTCCCCTTTTCTATCTCTATGATGCTATATTAGTGTTTCCCAACCGGGGGTACATGCTCAGAGGGTCTGCATGTAGTTTGCATGTTTCTCCCAGAGCATGTGTGGGTTCTCTCCAGGTACTCCGGCTTCCTCCCACAGTCCAAAAACATGACTGTTAGGTTAAATGGCTTCTCTAAATTCTCCTTAGGTGTGAGTGTGTGCGTGAATGGTTGTTTGTCCTGTTTGCCTCCGTGTTGCCCTGCGATGGACTGGCGACCTGTCCAGGGTGTACCCCACCTCATGCCCATAGACAGGTGGAGATAGGCACCAGCACCCCTCACTACCCTGCTTGGGATGAACGTGACGGAAAATGAATCGATGAATGTGAGCGCGTGTCCTTGTGGTTCGCAAGGGGTAAAATTAAATATTTTCTTAGGTAGTAAAATAAAATAGGGCTTTGTCTTAACTTTGAGTTTCAGCTGTGACACACATTAAACCCAAGCAGAGGAAGTTAAGCCTAGTATCAGCTGTTTTTCTACACTGAGATATCAGAGCTCATGAAACCATCTCAGGTGTCTGGATGTAAAAAATTAAAACTACCGTAATTAAGTCATTCTGAATATATTTTTTGTTCTGCATTTTGTTCCCAATTCATCAAGTTTAAGTGTGATTATAATGGAGTTACTCAGAGGGGCTTCAGTTTTATAAATACAGGTTTATAATATGATTTACATTTATATTTATTTTGATTCCTTAATCACTTTGAGGCAACATATTTATGTTTTGTTTTGTTTTTTTGTTATTATTTGAAATACAAAGAATACAACAAGTATTAAATTCTCAAGTTAAAAGATTAAGTACATTCTCTTTATTTTATAATGAGTTATTGTACATTCAACTTTTGGACAATCATCAATACTTTTGACTGAGGGGGGTACTCATGGTAAGACAAAATGCACAAAGGGGGACACAAGTTATAAAAGGTTGGGAAATAGTAGTCCTCTACATTGTAGAGGACTACTATTTTCTTTTACCAAGTCTCTATGTTAATGTATGTCTTTATCTTTCAACAACTTTATCTCAGATTTTCTACGTCTGTGATGCTGTTTATTTCTATTATAAATAGGTATATCTCTTCATCTATTTTTCTACACACAAAAATATTACACACAAATTTAAAACGTATGTACTTTAATTACATGACAAATTCCCATTTACTTTTTTTTAAATAATTGTTACAAAAACCAAATAAATAAACCTTACATGATTCATATCACTTTGTATAACTAATTCTATTTAACAAAAATAAATAAGGCTTATATTTATATAAAATAAAAAAAAATACACTTACTCAAAATTAGTAGTAATGAGTTTTTTTTTTAATACATAAAGTTTATAGCATAATAATGAGGTTACCTTTATGCAATTCAAACAATAAACTTTATGTATTTGAGTTAAATACTAGAATTAGTATTAATTTTCAGTAAGTATACTTTATCACTACATACATAAACCTGATGATTATGTATGTTAAACTTTATTATACAAATTGATATGAATCATGTAAGGTTATCTATTAGGATTGTTTTAAAATTCAATATATTATAATCTAGTATGTATAAGTCCTAACGTTTCTCTATACATTTCTATATCTAAAGATGTCTATTGTCAGAGTTTAAGTGGAGGTTTTTTGAGGACCCAAATGTAGAGATGAGGATGCAGAGGTTAGTTTTGCTGATTTAATTAAGAATTCCACAGGCAGTTTAAGCAAAGTCCAAAAACACAAAACACTGAAAGGAACAAAAAAATCCAGTGAACATCAGGGAAAGCACACATGGAGCGCAAAAAGACTACAAATCAACATAAACCAGCAAATAGGAACTGCAGAGGTGGTGTATATATGGGGAACAGAACAAAGAATGGGCTAATGAGCTCATATGGAGCAGGTGTGAATAGCTAACTAGAAGGAAGCCAAGGGGAAAGGAAACTGGCACAAGGGGGCCACAGGGAGTAACTCAAGAACACAACACTGCCATTAAACAACTAAAATTACACAAAATGAAAAGAAACTAAAAAGAAACCTAAAAAGAGGGCAGAACCCTGACATCTATCTGTTTGTGGTAAACTCCACAGATAGAACTGTTTGCTCTAAAACTCATTCGTTCTTTTTTTCTACCGGTATATATTTATGTTATAGCTTTTCTGAGTTGTTTTGGTACATTTCTCAGAGTAGAACCTTAATTATCTAAACTAATTGTTCAATGGTCACCTATTTTTTTTTTACATATTAAGTTTCAAATTTCTTTGAAGGTGCAAATACTTTGGTAAATTCATTCAAAGGATTAAAGGGATAGTTCGGTATTTTTGACATGAATCTGTATGGCATCCCCATCACCAGTGTCATGCAATCACACTG